CCCCCGATGTCACAGCAGGGGCTTGTCTTGTAGTGGACTACTGTAAGTAGACCGTTCCTAGCAGATGGGAACCAAGCTGACACCAGAAAGTCATGAGGAATTGCTAAATGAATGAGCTCATACTTGATGCTATTAAATCTCATCTCATTTCCTTTTAAAGCATCATGCACTCTTCATTATTCCTACACAGTAATCTAATTCTCTATTATGTTACTATTTCATGAACTTCTGTTATCTGTAAATTCCATTAGCTTACTACTAATTTTTCTAAAGTCTTGAACAAAAAACCTTTTAAAAGAAGGAATCAAAAGGACAGTCCATGTGGTACTCCATTGATAAATGCCCTTTCGTCTGGTTTTCTTTTCAGTGAAAGTCCTTGTCTCTGCTATTTCTTTGGTTTCTAATGATTGTACTAATTCCAAATTGATTCAGTTTACTAAACTTTCCAGTGGCTGAAGTTCAGATTTAGACATTCTATAATTTACTCATAGCCTTCTCTGACAATACCCAGATAATCTCTGGTGTCAGCTGTGCTACTTTCCACTTTTCTGATAACCTTCACTTCTTAACTTTGGCATGCCACGACCGCCATGGTCTTTTTCTCCCTGAATAAAGTGTGTGTGGGGGGTTGTTATTAAGTCAGATAGTGTGACTTCTAATATTGACATCTCCTAATAAATATTTATGGGACTTTTGAATGCAGTTCTTTTGCTGTTCAAAGGTCAAGATTGTAAAATCGAGCTCATGATCTTACTGGCTTTGTTTCTGCTTTAGATGTGCTGTCTCTGCAATAGATAACAACAAATGAAAACAGTATTTGTTCTGCCTCTGGTGTCAGATGGTCTTTACTGTGTTCACTGCAGCCCTACTTGAGTAAAACAAAACAGCACTTAGAATTTGCTTCTGTTCCACTTGTCCAAAGGTGTGCTAAGGTGGATCTTGCAAGCTGCACTTCATCCTTGAACATAGCTTTCTGCAACATTTCCTCACCGTCTTCCCGTATCTTGTAGGCTTTCAGCTTATTATCAGTACCTTGTTGATAAGGTTTGTTCATGGAAGGTTTTGAATTTTCTTTTGTGTGTCTATACATGTATGTACATGTCTACATTAAAAATGGGTGTGTACGTACACACATGCATACAGCACATGTGTCTTGGTATGCAGGTAACGTGTTGGTTTGACTAAAATTTCCAGCTTCTTCCTCTTGTACATCTTTTGAGTTCTAGAGTTCTGTTAGTTAATTTTCTTTCAGTTTTTCTTGATTTGAATCTTAAAATTAACAACATTTATATATAATTTTTAATTACAGAATCCAAAGCTAAAGCAAATCATATCTGTTGGTGAAGAAATCAACTAGCTTATTGCATCCAAATATATCCGCTCTCCAAAATAACAAGAAAGTCCAGTTCTTTAATTCCAATGGGTATTTGCGATGGCTCGTATCTTGAAAGCTGCCATCAAGGGTATTTTTAGTGCAGTTTATGCATAACCTGTGGAGATCTTGCACACAGTAAAACTTTAGCCGTAAGAAAAGTGGAACGCAGAACCTTTTACATTCTGTCATGTTGCTTATGTGCCTCGTAGATGACTTTGTCTTCATTTCTCTAATCCTTTTCAGGTTCTCAGAAGCCACAAAAGATAATGAGCATAAACGGTCTCTTACCAAGACTCCATCTAGAATGTCTCCATACTTGGAGGTCTGCACACCTGCTAGGCAGAAGAGCTGCAAACTGATGAGTCAGAAAACCGGCAAGGGACATGCAAGAAATAACGATCTGACTGCACCAAAGGGTAAAGTGGATGGTAAATATTTGGCTCTTTCAGATCAAGGGTTTTGTCTTACTGAATTACTATATAAATTTTTAATAACCTAACGTCTTGTAGTCCCAGGTTTTCATTTCATTCTCTAACTTACGACTGATTCTTTAGAAACTGCAGTAGTTTCTTTGTTTCCTTTGGTTTCCAGTATTTTGACTAAAATATACGGTACTTGGCTACTACAGAAAAGGGGACAGAAAACCTTCTAGACCTTTAGGGACTATGTAGCAAAAGATTCATGTAACAGGTACAGGGTGATCCTGTCTGCGGTGAGTGGAGTTCCTTATGCCCTCAAGGAGGTGTCATTCCCCTTGTGGGACTGGCATGCACCAGGCTTCTAGCTGTGTTTTAGGACAACCTGTAACGATCAGCCTGAACAACTCTGATCAAGCTAGGAACTAAAACCCCGTAAGGGAGAGCAGAAGTCCTCCATGATCTCTGTACCAGCATGGCTCTGCTATCTAAGCACTGGTACCCCATCACCACAGGTCAGAACCCAGCGTTGCCTGACTTGCTGTATGACAACACCAATGTTTTGTAGGCGGAAAGAAAAATTCCGCTGCTGATCTGAAGCTGCTGTGTCCTGGAAGAATGCTGCTTTTCTTAATGTGAAAATCCCCTGGCTTCCAAACAAGCATAAAGACTAGGAAACACAATCTGCTCTGAAGGACTAGAAAAATGCATGGAGCTATATGTGCTATTGTGCAGTACAACTGGAGCAAGAGGGCTGATACTCTGCAACTCCTGCTCTCTCCAGACCTGAAAACTCCCTCTTTCAAGAGAGCTCTCTTTGTGCAGTTCTCTCTTCAGAGGTCACAGGCAGCAGCATTTAATGGCTCTTTGGTTTCCATAGTTGTATGGGGATCTTCACAGGCACTTGGTAACTTGCTCTGTACAGTGAAGTTCTTGCTGCTATAACTACGGTATCTTGCTGCCTTTTGTAGTTGTCACCCCCTTCAAGTTCACAGCTCACGCTGCAGAACTCACAAGCGCCAAGAAGACATTTGATCTCAAAGCAAGTCTCTCGAGGCCGCTCCGGTATCAGCCACACAAAGGTACCGTGATCCTGCGCAGTTTGTGTTGCTCACACCCCTCACGCTCAACTGCCCGTAAAGCAGGCGTTGGTACAAAGCATTGTAGCAAAGCTTTTGGTCTCTTCCTGTCCCTTTCTGGATTCCCACACAGTCTGGGCACTGATATGTTAAATTTCTATAATGCCTCTCTAACTTCTATAGATGCTTTAAGAGCCTCCCTCATGAAAAATAAGCCTTTATGACCAAAAGCCCATAAATATAAGCATAAACATCCTTGTAGTTCACTGAACAGATGGATGTACAGGAAATACGAGAGAATCCTTACACAATGAGGCCTACCTTTATTTTATTTTCTTAAGAAAGTGTACTATTGGGTGAGAAGCTGAACTTTAACTGTTACTTTTGAGTACAGTCACCTGTTGCTACTTACAGAAATAGTACTTGTAGGGAATGGGCCGGTGGAGCTGAAGGGCATAGAATCTTCAAGTCAACCAGCAAAACCAGGCTAGCTGGTATAAACTTCACAATAATAAGTGAAGCACACAAGTACTGAACTAGTAATTCAATAGTCTCTCTTTGCCCCTGAATTGTAGGACGACTAAAACCATGGGGAGAATTTAAAGAAAATACTGTCCTAAATAAGTCTGTCAGTAGCAACATCTCTTCACGTAAGAAAGATTACAAGCAGCCGCATCTCCAGACAAGGTTAGTACCTGCTAGCTTTTTATGAATAGTGTTATTTAAAATAATAAGACGACGACTCATTTCTCTTTCCAGAATTTAAATATACAGTTCAGGAGAGAATACTTTTATGTTAAAGCAACTTTTGCTTCCAATAGTCTGTCTAGTATCAGGAAGGGGGAGTTCTGAAGCTGATAAGACTTTAATTCTATGAGCGCTATCAATTCTAGCGTTTGACGACTTTCACCTTGGAAGAAGCTGTGAATGTTGTTGTGTTGTTACCTTGAATGTTAGACCTGTACGCCTGAGCAGAAGTATTTGCCTGAATGTCTGGGTTCGATCCAAAATGGTAGCATTCCCTCTGCCAGAAGCAAGCGCAGGGTGCTGGTTTAATGAATGTTAAGCCGTGGTCAGCTGCAGCTTCCTTTGGCTGCCTGTGCCTCTGCCTTTAATGGAACTTGGTATGACCTGTCTCTCTTCTCTCTCCCCTTCAGGGAAGAAAGGCGTGAGAAACATGAGCAAGAGAGGAAAAAGAAAAAGGCTCAGGCTCTTGGAAACTGCAGAGGACTGTCTGTGGGTTAGGAGGAATAAGAAATATTTTAAAAATCGCTGTAAATACTGTTCCTGTCTTGTAAATACTTCTGCTGTCTGTGTGGTTCGGGTCAGTATTAGCTAGTGGAATCCGGAGAGCATTGAATGAGACCTTACAATGCATCTGAGTGTGACATTTTAGTGATCAACTTCTCCAGTGAGATGAGTTCTAAATTCTTAGGAGCTTAAAACTATCTCTAGTTGTTTAATAATGCTTTAATTTAACTAAAAGATGTTAAAGGAGAAAATGTAAGTGGAAGAAAGATGCTCAATTTAGGACAGACTTCTTCCTCCTTGCAACTTAGGACAGACTTTTCCACCAGAATGCGTTTGTTGCCCACTTTGGGCAACAAACTTCAAAACATTCCAGTGGTAAATTCCAGGAGTTGTAATGTCTGCTTGCCTCTTCTCCAGCTCAGCCCTTACGTTCTGTAATAGCAATTACTTGGCATTTCTAATCGCGCACTTATGAAGTAGTAGGGAATTTCCAAGAAAAGAAAAAATAGGCAAGCTGTCTGGAAAACTAAAAGCTTACAGCATAACATAACTGTAAAATACCACATTTTAAAAATGCAACAGGGAAGTGGCTTTACAGACTGCCTGCTGGATGCTTTGAAAAGTTATTCTGTTCCTTTCTATGGTAAACAGCAGATGCTAACAAAATTTTTCTGCTTTTCATCTCTATGGCTCTTGAAAGAGGTTACAGTAGTGTTAAGGCACATTCAGTACCTTAAATTTCAAAGGTGCTGTTGTTGTTACTTCCAAGAAACACATAGAAAAGCTGTCTGGATGTATTGTGGATGGAACTGGAAAGGTAATTTAGCCATTGTAATCTCAGCTAGAACTTTGAGCAAAGAATTGTTTCAATGAATTTAGTGGGCTATCCAACAAACATGCTGAAAAGTCAAGGACAAACTTTCATTGTTTTATAAACTTAATGGGGGGGAAATAAATATTTTGTATATATCCTGTTTATCACTGCTTATGTCATTTGGTGTTCTACGTGTAATCACCTCCTTTGTGTAGCACTAGTTCTGTTCACACTTGTATTTACTCCTTGGGGTCTTGTTTTGTGATGAGTTTTCCTTGGCACTAAGCCCGCCCACCACTTCATGAAAGCATGTGTGTTATGGTATCTTTGGGAATGACAGCCTTCCCCCTCCTTTGCTCTTAAGTTGCTTAATTCTGTGCAAGAGAAAAAAAGGATAGTACAACATGCTGCTTCAGCTTGCTTTATTGGGGCCTCTTCCCTCTGAAATACAGGTACATTTAACATTTGTAGAGTAGCTGAACAAGGTCACTGCTTAGATGAGACTGAGTTTGTGACAGCCAAAATAAAACCCTTTGCCGCTTGTTCTCAAATTACTGAAAACCAGAACCAGAGAGGTACAACACTTCTGTGCCACCAGCTGAGGCTGTGACTTCCTACAGTGCAGCAGAGCTGAGACCTGTGAATGCACCTGCCCTGTAAGGGGGCTAATGGAGTGAGGGGCTGTCCCTCACCCCACCCTGGGGGCACTACTACTGCAGGACTCCATCAATAGCTCTAATTAAAGGCCCAGCCTGCTGCACATCTACTGTTTCAGTCTTGACAGGGGCAGCTGCTGCTTTTTTTAGTTATTCAGAGGAGCCAAAGCTAAAGGTTGAAATACTTCTGCCTTTTCCACCTCAGGTGCTGCTCTTTGTACATTTCAGCAGCTGAATCACACTTACTCACCCTTCCCCAGAGTATTCATTCTCATTGTACTTCCTCCAGTTTAAAACCAGCAGATGCGAGTGTTTTACAACTGCCTACAACCCATATAATGTAGAAAACAAAAGCATTGTACAAAAGAGAACTACACCAAGCTTGTGAAATACTTTTATTTCTATAAAGGTCAGGACAGAAGCAAACACTTAGCCTGTCAACAGTTACTACTCTGTAAGAACACAGCTCTCCTCAGGCTTTGCTCCCATCCCTGTACATAGAGTCTCTGCAGGATTCTGGATCTGGCAGCTCAAAGGTGCCAACGGTGTCACTCCAGTCAGATTACCCCAGGCAACACTTCATGCACTTCTCTCCTTTAGTGTTTACGTAGAATCTTCAAGTTGTTGTAAGCCACACATTAAGTGTTTTATGACCATGAACCCAGTGTCAGAAGAATGCCCCAAAGGACACCAGCCCAGCTTACTTCTTTTCATACATTTCGTAGGCAAACTCTTCTGTATGAGCTCTATCGTTTAGCAGGCCAATAAAGTCAATCTCCAGCTGGAACGGACCATCTACTTTATCGCCGATTGTGAATCCAAGGGTACTAACCTAATCAAGGGACACATTCCAACAGTATTTATAATGTCACAAACTCAGTGTATCTACCACTTCCCTATTTTACAAACAATTCACAGCCTTTTACTTTAAACTGGTATTTATTTGTTCAGAATGCAGCAGCATTTCTTGAGGTGTGAACACTTCACTACCACACGTATAATACAGACCCCCTGCAGAAAAACTATGGCACGTTTGCCTCTACTGCTGCACCAAACCCTCTATTAATGGCCTGAGCCTAAGGCAACGCCACAATTTTTATCTTTGTGGATGGCCGGTTCCCTCAGGATTGGGTGTACAAACACGCTTTCACAAAGTCTGTTACAATTCGTTTGTGAGCAGGGAACACAAACCATGTCACTAAAGACAAAAGAGAACTTTTAGTCTAGATCAAGTGACACACCTGTTATAGCGTGGAAGTGCCCCAAACCAGACATTGTAAAATGCATTAAACTTCCATTACTGAGTTTTATATTATGGCAAGGTTCCTGGCCACTGCTTCCCAATTAGAATAATGTTCTTAAATATATGAACATTCCTCATTTCTTTACCCTCACATTCTCCCCCACCACTATTCCAATTAAAAAAAAAAGTAATTTTTTATTCTAACTGTAATAATTTCCATAAAAATCTGTGTGGCTCACGCAAGCTTCCCCATAGCCTTCCCAGTTGCCTTTCAGAGAGCCCAGTGTCAGCAGGTCTCAGGACAAGCTGGGTGCCCACCTAGTCACCTCCAGCTGCCCCTAAGCCCTGCCGGCAACGCAGGTCCGAGCTGCGCCCATGACTTTGGGGCTGGCTATACATCAGGAACAGAGTGCCCAGGGTGCGCCTGGCAACGCTGAGTGACTGGGCTGCAGCTAAACGCCCATTGCAAGTGTTGGCAACACCAGTAATGGAGCGAAGCTACAGAAATAAAATGCGCTGATGCTCCTCCCGGGTCACGCCGATGTTCCCAATGCTGTCTCCTCCCCAGAAGCTAGCTCCACATCCAGCCCCTTGCCTTCCAGAGCCTGCAGAGTTTTTAAAATTCTACCTTTCTGGTTTGCACTGTGATAGGTGACCACGGGAGCCCCCTAAACTCTCTGCTCTGAAGAATCCACCCCTTTGCAAGCCCTGGGCACACAGGCTATTTCCTGCCTTTTTACTCCTGTTTAATGATGCCGTTCCCAGGAAAGCACATCCAAGTACGATGAGGGGCAAATACACATGATCACAATTTCGTTAACTGCCTTCACACTGATTCCCCTATTTTTAGCTTTCTTTAAAATACATGTGTAAAATTACACTTCATATTATACACAGGTGCATCATTTTTATTGTGAAATATTCAGCATAATCTGAGAGGAATGGCAAGCAGAGGATGCTGAGATCGAGTACTGTCTTGTCCCTCTAACTCCTGGTAAGTATTTTCAAACACCCCATACACACAACTGTATGTTTTCATTTACCATCTTGAATGACTGTATATACCAAATCCTGATAAATTCCTCAGTGCCTCTATTTAAACATAAGCCTTTTATAACAACTTTCCTCCATAAAGCATATCTTTTACTGTAGTTGATCCACCTCCTTCATGTCATTCATACTTGCTTTCTACAGCCTCAATACCTTCTGTTTCAGAACAGATTGTTTTCAAGCTGCCAGTCACCAAACTGCCCTCCATTTTTTCCCCCCTTTCTTTTTTCCCCATTAAGGCCATTAGGAACTGAATGCAACATTCCAGGTGACCAACACTGATTCAAGTAACAGGCCTTTTATTTGCTTGCCATACATATTTCTAACATTGTTTTCCTTTTGGTAGTCACTGGGTATTAAGCTGCCCTCAGTCACGTACTGGAAGGTCATTGAAATTTAAAAAAACAAACAAAAAAAACAACAACAAAAAAAAACAGAAACAATTTTTTTCCAATGCCTCCTCCGGTGAATTAGTGAGTTGCCTACCTATTTGCAGAAACAAAGTAAGACACTCACTATGTTTATTTAATACTTAGACTAGAAAGCCTGAAAAAACTAAAAAAGAGCCTGTAAATACATCAGTCTACTGCTCACCACCAAAGCCACCGATACAGCACATGCTCAAATAAAATCTCACGATACGATATCCCTGACAGAAGACTGTCAGGAAGAAAGTTCATTATACTTTTATTATTTTTGGCAGTGCTGTGCCCACCGGCATTTTAGATTTCTTAGTCACTTTGATCATTCCTCAAAAATAAATTTTGGTTTTTTGAAAAGCCAAGGACAGTGTGAGTTATTTCTTGGTTATACTGATCTCTCAAAAATATTTTTGAAGCTCCTTTGAAGTAAACTGACACAAAGTAGGGTAACTGAAATGCAAAGGCAAGCACACAAGTACCTTATAACAAGAAGCAGCCCTTCAATTTCAAATTCACAAAGATTAAAGCATTTGTAAATTACCTATATCGTGACAATATAATCTTAAAGGAAATTTCAGACAGATAAAGCCTATAGAAAACTTGCCTTGTCTAACCAGATGGGGTGCTGCTGATCCTGGACTCTTCCCCGACTGGAGAGAAAGAATTTGGAGAATGGAATCTGCCAGGAACAAAACCAAACCAAACCAGACTTCAGTGTCACCAGTACATAAAAGAAAAAAAAAAAAAAAAGCCTGCCTCAGTGAATGAAATAACACTCTGCTACATCTGGTACCACCACTGGTTGGGTACAGAGAACTGGCACAGAGAAATGGGCCACATTAACCTTTTGTGGACCACTCGCAGCCAGCTCCAGGCCCATGCTGTTCTGCGCTCTTCTGTTATCCGGTTAGGGCACAAGGAGAGGTGGCAGCAGAGAAGGCAGCTGTTTACATCAAGAATATTTCCTTCCAGTAACACGTCAATACAAAACAGAAATTGATGCGAAGTCCAGCATGTGTGTGTAGCAACAGCTTGTCTGTACCCAGGCTGTGCACTTCACAGAATCATATAGGGGGGTGGGTTGGGAGGGACCTTTAAAGGTCCTGTAGTCCATTTCCCCTGCAGTGAGCTGGGACACCTTCAGCTAGACCAGGTTGCCCAGAGCCCTGTCCAACCTGACCTTGAATGTTTCCAGGCATGGGGCTTCTACCACCTCTCTGGGCAGCCTGTGCCAGTGTTTCACCACCCTCATTGCAAAAAATTTCTTCTTTACATCTCATCTCAATCTGCCCTCTTTCAGTTTGAAACCATTACCCCTTGTCCTATCTCTACACTCTCTGATCAAGAGTCCCTCCCCACCTTTCCTGCAGGCCCCCTTTAAGTACTGGAAGGCCACCATAAGGTCTCCCTGGAGCCTTCTCCTCTCCAGGCTGAACAACCCCAACTCTCTCAGCCTGTCCTCACAGGGGAGGTGCTCCAGCCCCCTGAGCATCTTCATGGGCCTCCTCTGGACCCGCTCAAGCAGGTCCATGTCTTTCTTGTCCTGGAGGCCCCAGAGCTGAACGCTGCACTGCACGTGGGGTCTCACCACAGCAGAGTAGAGGAGGAGAATCCCATCCCTTGACCTGCTCGCCATGCTTCTCTTGATGCAGCCCAGGAAGCAATTGGCCTTCTGGGCTGTGAGCACACATTGCTGGCTCATACTCAGCTTTTCATCCACCAGCACCCCACAGTACCACATTTCATAGTGCAAACTTCATACTGAGACATGAGTACTCTAGCAAAGCAGTTCAGAGTAATGTAAAAATGACTTTGAATGCAGTGGGAGCAAGAATGAGGAGGGGCTGTGACAAGAGCTGGGAAACAGGAGGGTTGGCTGGTGGGTGTGAGAGGAAAGCATGCAAGCCAGCAGCAACACACCAATTTTCATCCTCCTGACTTCTCCTCTGTGAAACAGTGGGCTGTTCTCATATGCCTGGACAACGGTATTACAATGCACTCAGTGCCAATCCATAAGGATGCACACACTTCCTTAATGTTGGCATCAGCAAACTACAGAAGTTCCCCGGGTTTCCTCAGAAACAAGCTGAAACGCCCACTTCTTAGAACTATTATTTTGTGCCACAGACCTGAATGCCATAAATGACAAAGCACACCTCTGAGTCTCTGACCGACTCCAGCCAGTCAGCAAGTTAAACAAATCCTGTCGCAGGGTACGAATCCTACACCAGCCTACGGCCACCTGCATTACAGATAAAACGCTTATCGCAGACAATATTCCCGGCCACACCTGCTGAGCCTCCATCACTGCATCTATTCTACTACTGCAGTAACACCAGGCGTTTAGGGGAAGGTACAGTGGATCAAATCTTCAGTACAACTGCCACAGCATTTCCTCCCACAATCCAGTGAGTTACAATTTTGGGAACTCCCAAGACAAAGGCACAGGCCTGTTGTATAAGGATATGTAACAGAAACCTGGTGGAACAAGGTCAGCCATAGCAACAAACCCTGACTGTGGAAAGAGCTCCTCTTCCACAGAGCTAGGGCCAGGACTCCAAGACAGTCGCATTAGTTTGAAAGACTCACTAGTTCACCTTTATTTCCTCCCAGTATGGGCCTCCTCGAGTGAACATGAAGTAGTTGTAGAGGTCATCCTTTTGATGAGAGAAGTAAGGATCAGTATAAATGTTTACCATCCAAGGTCTGCCATCACCACGGACACGTAAATACAGACTGTTGAAGTTTGACCAGTCATAATACTTCTTCCTAGCAAAAGATCCCTACAAATCATAAATAAATAGAATTATTCCCCCTTAATAAAGGTAAACATCCGTTCTGAAGAACAGAGCACTATTGCTTTGATCACTGGGTTACTCTTTCATCATACTAGTTGCTGATCTCACCAAATTTCCTTCATCACTGTATTACAGCCCACAAATTGCAGCATGACCACTCTGACGATTCAGGCTTTAATTATAAACCACAATCTTGTAATTATCAGAAATCAGACCCAGGACCACACTCCCAACCAGGCAAGTACACAAAGGCTAAAGTAATGGATCAGTAGTTATGTAGTTCATTAAGTTTAATGTAGTTCACTGAGTTTAATATTCTGTGGTCAGTACTAGATTATTCAGAGGCAATTACAAGAAATTGAAGAGGTAGGGTAATTTATCCCCTGTGATAGCTCGCCTTATTGAAGGCTGACATAAGCACTGGAAGCATCTAATATTTTCCAACATTTGTCATTAACTGTGCATAATGATATGGATTGCAAGCATGTCTAATCTTGACTGCCTTTTTTTTCCCAAAGATTTTCGAAGTCCCAGTGTTGTGATAGGCCAGGGGCTAATCTTGGCCAGAACTGCTTAAACCAAGTCAAAATTAGCACCAAAACCCCAGAGGTTTCCCTTTTATTTTACAACATAACTACAGTTACTTATCAACTGTCCTCGTACCAACTCATAGTAACAGGATGAGTAGATCATCAATACACTAACACAAGGCCTACGGCTACTTGAGTTTATGGTTTTGCCACTTTTGATCCTTTTTACTTAAATAAAGAAGAACCTTTGTATTTATGTTTTCACCCTCTGATTTCAAACTGCTTTATAAAGACAGACTGATACACTCCACTACTTTGGAACTAGGAGGTGAAAGTCTGAGTCACATCTGCACAAGCCAGTAGCAGTCCTGAGAATTTAACTCGGGTGAGATTCAACTCGCTGTTCCATTCCTCTAACTCAGTGTCCCTGTTCCGATCCGTGTTCATCTGCTTCTCATTTGCCTATTGGTTTTGCTCGCTCATATTCTCGGGTCTCCAAGTTTCTGGCCCAGAAAAGATTTCACCTATGTACTTGTGCCAAGTCACAAACAATAGGATGGACTACAGAGTTAAGCATTTTATATACAGAGTCAAAACATTCCTTTCCTTTTAAAGGTGCTTAAAAATAGGGAATGAGACAAGAAGTATCAATAATTAGCACATCCATTTCTGGTTCTGTTTTGCTCAAGCTATCAAAGATCTGTGTCTTGCTTTTTCCTGATGTACAGTAAGTGTCAGACCTTTAAAAAGTACATTTCTAAGCATTATTTTCTGTTCCTGTGAGAAAAAAGATGAGCTCATCACCTAAACCAAGTTTGATGAATAGGCAAGTTAAAGCCCAGATAATTTGTCCTTATGATGCATTCAATTAACTCTAAATTGAGACGGACATCTATTTTAACCATACCAATTTGGGATATAAATGCTCATTACAAATCCTTCATTTGCAAGGAGGCTGCAAACAGGGCTATCTTAACGAGTGGATGCCCTAACGTTCGTAAGTAAACGAACAAACATGCATTATTCCTTTTCTAAGGAAAGAAAACAAAATCCAAGAAACGTTTAAGTTCCTTCCAGGTCACAGGATACAGCAGCAACTACATCCCCAAAGGAATATTTAACACTCCTGAAAGGGACCCATTTCAACCACAATAAACAACAGTCCACTTGTCACGGGGATCACACAAAAGTACTCTCCAATTAAATAACAGAAGCTGTGCAAACGCGAAGCTGGACTTACCACTGGTGGTTTAGCTCTCATGCTACAATATCCACTGTATTTTGTCTCTCCATCACGAGGTACTTCCGTATTGAGGGTTCCATACAGCAGAGCAGCCTGGTTGTTCCTACCCAATTTGAGGTAAACTTCACTTTTCCCTCCGATCTCTACATCAGAGGAAATAACCCATTTATTTAAATCTTCTTGGCTCCGAAACTCCCACAACACCCTTGTCTGTTCCAACAGGTACTGATCGAACGGGCGGCCTTCAGGTCCTATTAAGTAATCTTCAGTCTCCTTCTTCAGCAGGCTTAGTTGAGCCTTTAATACATCAAAGCCTTTCTTAAAGCTGAAATCAACATTTTGCCAAGATGTTTTTTTCTCAGGCTGTGACCCAGGCCTCCTGTAGCTGCTATACAATTTCAACATGGAGCCGCTGAGGAGAGGTCCAAGAAAGGGGCACAAAACTTCATGCCTGCAGCATCTACCACCTAAGCAAGCGTTGTTCAGCAACGTAGTAGTCAAAGCCATATCGGTAAACTTCCAGTAACAGGTTTGAAATTAATTTAACAACAAAACTAGTATCCAGAGCTATCTTACTTTAGTTACCGTAGTTTTCACCACCTATAATCAAAAAGAGAAAAGGATTAAAAAAACTACATATAGGATGCTTGTAAAATTGTTTGTTTCTTGAACCAGATATTAACCAGAAATCTAATCCATTGGAAAAAGGAATAAAAAATAACATCAAGTATTACACTTCCTCAGAGTTCTAGTTTACTTAATGATCTCCACCCTATGTGTTCCCCCTTCCCCATGATGTGAAATGCTCAGGCAGATAAGAAAAAGTAGAACAGGTAAAAGTGAATATAGAAAAAAAAGCAATTCCTGTTCATCCGTTTCACTGCAAGTTTAGGTATTATGACTAACACCAGCAAAACAACATTAAGAAGCAGGTTTCTGAAAGATGGCATCTATGTAACTATAAAGTATTATCCCCTGCAGAAAAATCACAGATCCGCAACAGGCAGACCCTGCTGCCACACGGACCAGAACGACAGCCTCATCTGACAGTCACAGGTGACAAGACTTTCCAGATACGAAGTCCTACAGCAGCCATACTACATGCTTCTTCCATAAGTCATCCAGCCCCTGGCCCCCTCAACATATCTGGTTTAGGATTACAAAAAGGTTTGTGAAGACCAAAGAATTGAACATGAAAGACTGCAATTCAACAGGCTTTTTTATAAAGCTTTGGAAAAACTCGGAAAAATCTTCTCTTTGCACCTCTCTGCATCATGTTGGTAGAAACAGCTAAGCCACATTGCTGTTCTCTAGGGAGAGCCTGAATGTTCAATGCTCTGTATTTTGGACTTAGAAAATTAGACAAACCTCTTGTCTGGTTTTCGGGGGTTTTTTCTTTTTTCTTTTTTTTTTTTTTTTTGCCACAGAATAAATCCTAAAATGATATCAAATCAGTTCACCTTCTCTCGGCTTTCAAGAATGGAGCCTGTCACCCCACATATATTCTCTATATGCCACATACCTTTTTTCACTCATGGTAAAATTCACTACTACTGTTCTCACACCCCGATCAAGTTATGCACCGTGGACTAAAACTGCATTGAAAGAATTCACATTTTCTCTATCACATAGGTAAGAGACAAGTTCCTAAAAAAGAAACCCCGTGCACAGGCCTTCCCTGCCCCCTAGCACTGCGGTGAAGCCCACACCACGAAAGCCACTAGAGCCCGGGACAGTGACGCCGTCCAGTTCTGGACCCTGCCGGCAAATCTGCTCCAACCCAAACCGTACCCAGTGGAAAGGGAAAGCACAGGAAAACTGCAGCCCGCAGCCAAGGGGAACCCGGCTCAACACTGGCTCGTCCTTGCTCCCTCCCAGAACCAAGAAGGAAAAAGTTTAATAAAATTTCACTTTTGCCCCATTTTTGTCGCCACACGTTTTACCAGCACGCCGATGTAACGCCCAGCGGTTACAGAACCTCGCCTTCCAGCGACGGCCTCGCTTTGCGCCTCACCGCACCGCCACAGAGAACCGCCCCGCGGCCCGGGCACCAGGCCCGGAGCCCGCCCACCTTCCCCGAGCCCGGAGGGCAGAGACGAGACCGGGACGCGGCGACACTTTTTTGGCCGCGCCCCCGCCAAAAAAGCGCCTTCTCCCCAGAGATTGCCCGCCTCCGCACCACCCCGTAACAGACCGACTCCCCTCACCTTCCCGCCGGGTCCTACCGCTTCCGGGCCCGGTGGGGGAACACGAACCGCGCCGTTCATGTTCCGCTGGGCGGCAGTAACCACTGAGCTCCCGCTCTCACCGGCGGTGGAAGCGAAATCTTCCCTTCAGGCTGCGGGCGCGGAGAGGGAGCTGCACGGTGCCAAGCGTTGTGGTCGCAAATCTCTGCGTTTAAAGAGAGGCGGGGCAGGGCGGGGCGGGGGGGAAGAGATAGTTGTTTGTGAGGAACATGTCGGCGCGATAGCTCGAATAAACTCT